AAAACTACATGTCATAACAGATTGAATTCAGAAGATCTAAGTATCAAACTGACTTTTATTAAGTCAGACATTAAGAGTCTTGAAAAACTGTAAAAATATTACCTATTTGAGAAATTTTTATTTTAAAATGTTATTTATGTTATAAAATGAGTTCATTAAATTTTAAGCACATAACTAAATAAATATGGAATCATGTATAAGTTATAATATTTCTTATGGTGATCACCACTAAAACATATAACCCACAAAGTGCAACAGGAGAGTAAGACTTGGAAGCTGTTTATATGCCCATTTTCAGCTATGCTTTCAAGTCCAGGCCATGTTCACAAACTGGCTGCAGACATACCTCATTTTGCTTCACTTTATTGTGCTTCACAGACATTGTGTATTTTACGAATTGAAAGTTTGTGGCAGCCCTGCATCCAGAAAGTCTATTGGGGCCACTTTTCCAACAGCATTTGTCCACTTCATGTCTCTGTGTCACACTTTAATAATTCTCAATATTTTAAAGTTTATTATTATTATTATTATATTTGTTATGATGATCAGTGATATTTTTTAAAGATTTTCTTTGTTTATTGCCCTTTTTAATTATTGATTTTAAGGAGAGAGGAAGGAGGAGAGAGAAAGAGAGGAAAGGAAAGAGAGAGAAAAACATTGGTTTGTTGTCCCACTTATTTATGTATTCATTGGTTGATTCTTGTGTATGCCCTGACTAGGGATCAAACCCTCAACCTTGGCATATTGGGACGATGCTCTAACCAACTGAACGACCTGGCCAGGCTGTGATCAGTGATCTTTGATGTTTTTATTGTAGTTATTTTAGGGTGCCACAAACTGTGTCCATAAAAATAGTGACTTAATCCATAAATATTGTGTGTTCTGACTTAACCAACAAGCCATTCCCCCATCTCTCTTCCTTTTCTCTGGTCTCCCTAATCCCTGAGATAGGACAATATTGAAATTAGGCCAATTAGTAACCCTACAATGGCCCTTATGTGTCCAAGTGAAAGGAAGAGTCACATGTCTATCATTTTAAAGAAATCTAGGAATGATTAAACTTAGTGAGGAAGGCATGGTAGAAGCCAAGACAGTCCGCTAAATCTCTTGTACTAAACCTCTTGAGCCAGACAGTTAACCAAGTTGTAGATGCAAAGGAAAATTTCTTGAAGGAAATTAAAAGTGCTACTTCAATGAACACACAAATGATAAGAAAGCCAAACAGCTTTATAGCTGATATAAACAGTTTAGTGGTCTGGCTAGATCAAACCAGCCACAACATTCCCTAAAGTGAAAGCCTCATCCAGAGCAAGGCCCTATCTCTCTTCAGCTCTCTGAGAGAGAAATGAAGAAGCCACAGAAGAAATGTTTGAAGTTAACAGAGGTTGGTTTCATGAGGTTTAAGGTGAGAAGTCATTTCCGTAACATAAAAGTGCAAGGTTGAAGCATCTAGTTCTGAGCTAGAAATGGTAGCAAGTTATCTGGAAGATCTAGCTAAGATAATTGGTAAAGGTGGCTACATTAAACAACAGATTGTCAATGAAGATGAAACAGCCTTATATTGGAAGAAGACCATCTAGGATTTTCATAGCTAGAGAGAAGTCAATGCCTGGCTTCAAAGCCTCAAAGGACAGGCTGACCCTCTCATAAGGGGATAATGCACCTGCTGACTTTAAAGATGAAGCCAGTGTTCATTTACCATTACAAAAATCCTAAGGCCTATGAATTATGCTAAATCTACTCTACCTGTGCTCTGTAAATGGAACAACAAAGCCTAGATGACAATACATCTGTTTACAATATGGTTTACGGAATATTTTAAGCCCACTGCTGAGACCTACTGCTCAGAGAAAAGAAAAAAAGAAATAAAAAAGATCCTTTTCAAAATATTACTGCTCATTTGCAATGCACCTGGTCACCCAAGCGCTCGGCTGGAGATGTCAAGATTAATGTTGATTTTATGCCTGATAACACAACACCCTTTCTGCAACCCATGAATCTAGGCAAAGTAAATTGAAAAATTTCTGAAAAGAATTCACCTTTCAAGATGCTATTAAGAGACATTCATGAAAGAGATAAAAATATCAACGTTAACACGGTTTGGAAAAAGTGGATTCCAACCTTCAAGGATGACTTTGAGGGGTTCAAGACTTCAGTGAAGGAAATAACTGCAGGTGTGGTAGAAATAGCAAGAGAACTAGAATGGAAAGTGGAGCCTAAAGATGTGACAAAATTACTGAAATTTCATGAAGAGCTAATGGATGAGAAGTTGTTTCTACTGAATGAAAAAAGAAAGTGGTTTTTTGAAATGGCATCTACTCCTGGTAAAGATGACAACAAAGGATTTAACAGAATATTTCATAAATTTAGCTTATAAAGCAGAAAGAAGGTTTGAGAGGATTTACTCCAATTTTGAACGAAGTGGGTAAAAAAAAAAAAAAAGTTGATTGATGCAGCAAATGCCATGGTTATTTTAAGATAACAATGACACCTCAATCTTTAGCAACCACCATCCTGGTCAGCAGATGATGGTTAGTATTTTTTAGCAATAAAGTATTTTAATTGAAGTATGTGCATTTTTTAAGGCATAATATTACATACATCTCTTTAGGATAAATGTAACTTGAACAAAAAATGTATGACTTCCTTTATGGAGATAATCTCATTATTGTGATGATCTAAAATGGAACCAGAAGTATCTCCAAGGTATGCCTTCTCCCTCTATGCTTCTTCAGCTGTGTTTTTAACTCTGTCATAGAGTTTATCACCGCGATTTGTACATTATGAAATCCTATGGAAAAAAGGTTATATGTTTTCCTTTTGAACAATTTGACTTTCACACCATGAATTCCTTAGAGATTGCTCCTTGAAAAAAAATTTTTTTAATTGCACCAGTTAGCAAAGTCATCAACTAGCTATATTTATATTTTGGTTTTAATTGTATCAACTCATTAGACCACAGTATTCTAAATTGTCAATTATGGTATCTCTAGACTTAGATATAAGCAACCTGAATCATTTTCAATTGTTTACTTCATTTAAATTCTGTTAATTTTATATTTATTTAAAGTATTTATTTTAATAGTTTTAATAAACTTTAATTAATGTTTTGTGCCTTTATAACCATATGAAAAATCAACATTTCAGAAGTATATATTACATTATTAAATAATACAGTAATTGACATATATATTGAAATACTATAGATTTCATAGTCTTAGTAAATGTTGGTAATGATTTTTATGTCACGTTGACTGGTTTTAGACTAATAACATTCTTATTTGAAAATATAAAAAAACATCATTTTAAAAATTGTCCTCATCTACAGTATGAAAACACAATTTTCTTCTGGATGATAAACCCATATAGTACTGAGAGGAAAAAGTGAGGATAGGAGATCAAAATATATTAGATCTTGACCTCGATTGGTATGATTTAAAATGTTTTTTTAAGTATATATTGAATTGAAGAGGGACAGTTCCAAAGATATATAAAGTCCTCGGAGAGCCTTCTGGTATGATTTTAAAACATTTTATAATCTAGTATAACACTTGAACTTTCTAACCAAGACAAGTGAGAAGTAGAATTTTATGCTTCTCATGAGCACTTGTTTTCCTGCCATCTCTCTGATGTCTTCGGGCACACTGAAGTGGATGGCATCACACTAATGATCATCAGCAGAAAGCTTAACACTGTTCTGGAAACCAGGGTAACAATCTGTGCTTGAAGGGGTTGTCTGCATTTCTAAATGTAAATTTTACAGAAGAGCAAACACTTTGTTTGAGCCACATCATCTGTCAGATTGCCCAAGGCTCAGCAGTTAGAGAAGCTCTAGTGCTGGCTGCATCTGGAAAAGCTACCTATTAGTTTGTTTTCTTGGATTTTAGTATCAGAGGACAAAACGATGGAATCCATAATGTATGTTCTAATATTTTTATATTTGTAAATAAAGATTCTTGAAAAAAGGCCCTTGAGCAGAATAAATATTTTTATATTCTTTTGTACAACTAGATATGACATATACTGAATCTTATAAAGCAGCATATCACTTTTATACTCTCCTGATATAAATTGCATGAATTCTTAAGCAACACAAAATCTTCATTGCCTTTAGACTCTACTTAATTTTGATAAGATCCTTTGTTTAATTAAAATTAATAATGCTTAAAAATAATATCTTTTCAAATATAGCTTCAATTTACTGTTAGAACAAAATTTGGCTTAAACGTTACTTGAGTCAATTATCAAATCATTTAAAAATTCAAGAGTTTAACTTTATTTGAGAACATGTTTTAATGTACTTTAAATATAATTCTGTATGTGAGTCATTATTCCAAAAAAGCATTCTCATCTTTCTCTCCAGGGTATTAATGCTCAGATATTGGTGTCTAAATTTTCTTTCCTGTAAGAGGAAGTGAGTATTTTCTGATGATAGATAGAAAATAGATAGATAGGAAATATATATAGTATATGTATGTAAATAAATATAGTATATGTTTAAATGCACATATGTACATAAAATGTATTTCATATATTCATATGTATATTAAAGTATTCATCTTGCTATTTTAATTTTGCATGTTTGTATGATGAGATAATTACAAGTAGGGAGAAAAACAAACATGAACAAAGGATATATTGAAATTAGCTTTCCAACAATGTGACAAAACTGTAAATTCATGTGAGAGAGAAAAGAACTCCTCCAGACAACCCACACAGAAACTCTGTGTAATGGGCTGATTATTTTATGAGGCTAGAAGTCTAGGTCATTACAGATTTTAGAAGGAAATGTGACAATATGAAGCTCTTAAAAATATAGCCATTATATTTTACATGACATGGTACCAATTTTTTGCCATGTATTGATAATCTTAACTCTTTGTATACTGACAAGTTCTCATCAACACTGGAAGGCATAGTAATAACTGATTACTTTGTTTAAGCACACTAGTATACAGTGTATACTGTACACTAAGTAAAAAAAAAATTTTTCTTTCAAGGTAACTGAACTGCACAACATCAAAAACATAACCAGGCTGCCTCGAGAAACGAAGAAGCATGCCGTGGCAATTATCTTTCACGATGAAACCTCCAAGACATTTGCCTGCGAGTCAGGTAAGCAATTACAGCCCCGCCTGCAGCTGGAGGAAACTGAGCTGCTTCTGAGACAGTGGCCCAGATGGATTAAGATACACCGCCGAATAGGGTGTCCTATTGTGATGAGAATGCATCCCAGAAGATTTTAGTAAGAAGCTCAGCACAGTGATTTTTTACAGATGTTTTTGAGTTTTGGTTTATTATCTGTCTGTATCTGGATTTTGTTCTGAGGTGGTCAGAGTGCTGGTAAGGTTTCCATCAAGGCTTGGAGAATTAAGTAAACAGTGCCTGGGAGATGTCGTCAGGGCAAGGTTATGACTTGTATTCTGGTTCTTGTCGCTGCAGCTGGAGGCATTTGGTATGGCCATAATAATGCTGCCTTGCAGAAAGGGTGGTGTGGCTTGGCCTGTCCCAGCCTCTTCAATCCATGAGCAATTGGTTGCTTTCATGGATTCCCACTGTACAAGTAAATACCTTGCAGGTTAAATTTGAGCATCCCAATTCATAAAGTATCGAGACGCAGGCAGTTTCTACTTTCAACTTGTAGTATTTTTCACTTTTGCAACTCTTGTGCTATCTAATATATTAGTTGTCGTGTCATTTTTTTTTGAATATTTTGCGTAATGAAATTTATATTTTATAATGGATAGGAGTAAAAAGCAGTCAGAATTTGAAAAATGTAAATTTAAAATAATAGCTAAGTGTTTAGGAGAAACTTGATTGAGTACTTCAAAAAAATAAACCCTGCTCTAGTCAGTTTGGTTCAGTGGATAGAGCATCAGCCTGTGGACTGAAAGGTCCCAGGTTTGATTCCTGTCAAGGGCACGTGCCCGGCTGTGGGCTCAATCCCCAGTAGGGGGAATGCAGGAGGCAGCCGAGCACTGATTCTCATCATTGCTGTTTCTATCTCTCTCTTCCTCTCTGAAATCAATAAATATATATTTAAAAATGTAAAACAAACTTTTTATGTATAGTTAAAGTTTATAGGAATAAATAATACCAGGTTATATTATTCTAAAAGCAATAATGTCACTTTGCCTAAATCAAATTGCTCACACTTCCTCACCTACATGTATTTCAATTTTACTAAACAATTAGCATTTATCAAAGTGTTCCTCTTTCCTTGAATGCCTTATTCCTTTCACTATACTTTTCTTCACTTGTCATCTGACTTCATTTCATAATTTACAATGGACTTTTTGGTGTTGCACATATGACATAACTGGCCATAGAAATCCCCATTCTGTACTAGAACTTGTCCCAACCTTGCGAAGATCATATCTTAATATCCACATGTATTTGTGCCTCCTTAAAACTATCTTCAAACTGTCTATAACCACATACTTTTTCTGAGATCTGAAGTAATGTCTCATATTAAAACCAATGACAATCAGAAAACTGGTTTTCAAAAAAAGATATAGAATAATTTTCACCACTGATGATATGTCTCAAGCTTCAATTTTCAGTACTATTTTCCATTTTGAAATTGCACTGAGCCCTGTTGTGGAGACATAGGCAACACTGGAGTAGATTATTTCAGATAAGAATGATATTGAATTATGGTCTGACATAATTCAGAAATACAGGCTGAGTTGAAACCCTCAAGTCTGAAGTTGAAACCTTTTAAAAATGTATTTATTTTATTTTTTGGCAGCAGTGGTAGTTTTGTGGCTCATGTAAGATTTTTTTGAGAAATGAAGGGCTCTTTGTTCAAAGAGAATGGCCTTAATTTCCAAGATAAGACTTTCTGAAGAGTGAGACTAAAGCTAGGTCTGAATATAAAGACAGAAGAATGATTGTTTAAATTATGATTTATGTGAAAGTATTATTTCTTTGGTTAAAACCATACTTTATGTGCAGCGATAGCAGTGTGCTTAAAGCTAGAGACAAATCATGTTTAAGAAACAATGGCATGATTTTTAAAAAACGTCTTCATAGCACATGCCAATGAAATAAAAGAAAGGACTTGGAATGCAACGAGGAATTTGAATATATTTTTCTTGCAAATTATAAAACTCAGACTATAAAGCAGTCAGGGATGTCAAAAATAGCAAGAAGGTTCAAGCCCAGATTAGAAAGAGTTCTGGCATTTATTTTTAATGCAAACACAGGTAAAAGTGTAGTCTCCTAATGGCTTGTGGGAATGGGAGTTGTTTCAATTATTTTTGCCAAGAAAACTGGTAACTGTTATGAAATTAATATGCATGCCCTTGACCCAGTGAATCTCTTTGGAGCATATCCCATATGGACAATTGTACCCACACATGAGGGTGTAGGTTTAAGCACATTATGTGTAACAACAAAATTTGAAACCAGTGTTTGTTTATCAAGGAAATAGTTGAACAGACTATGATATATTATTATCCTATATAATAAAGAGATAATATGCAAATTGACTATCACACCCACGTACAAGATGGCCACCCACATGTGGTCACAAGATGGCCACCAGAAGGTGGCTGGCAGGGGAGGACAGTTGTGTGCGATCAGGCCAGCAGTGGAGGGCAGTTAGGGGTGATCCAACCTAAGAGGAGGGCAATGGGGGGTGACCAGGCCAGCAGGGGAGCAGTTAGGAGTCACTTAGGCTGGCAGGGGAGTGGTTAGGGGGTGATCAGGTTGGCAGGCAGAAGCCTTTAGGGGCAATCAGACAGGCAGGCAGGTGAGTGGTTGAGAGCCAGCAGTCCTGGATTGTGAGAGGATGTCTGACTTTCGGTTTAGGCCCAGTCCCTCACAGGGATTGGAGGGGTGAAGGCTGGGCTGAGGGACACCCTCTGCCCCCCATGGACAGATTTTGTGCACCATGACTCTAGTGCTAAAATAATATGCAATCACTAAAAAGAATTCTAATTAAACCAACTAACATGAAGACATTTCTATGAAGTTGAGTTCTTCAAACAAAACAACCAGCGATGTATCGATATATACTGAATAATCACATTTTGTAAAATAAATGAGAGACTGTGAGTGTTTTAACAGTCATTACCAGGTAAGGGAAGATGATAATGAGGTGGATAGAATAGGAAGATATGGGGAAAAGACAAGCAAAATGAGAGAAGTAAGAAAATAAAATGAACAGAAGAAAATACCCAGTATATAAACTATCCTATTTACATGAGACTGTGCATACATGAATGTACATATGAATATATCCAATATTTAAGTCATCAGCAAAATGGTAATTAAAATGTCAATGAGATATTAGTATGCACCCATCAGAATGGCTAAAATTAAAAAAAAAATAGTAACACCACCAAATGCTTGTGAGGTTTTAGAGAAACTGTATCATTCATATATTGTACATGGGAATGTAAAATGCTATAGCCATTCTGGAAAATGGTTGGCAGCTCCTTATAAAATTAATCATATAATTATCACAGAATCCAACAATTGCACTCTTGGACATTTATCTCAAAAAAAAAAACACTTATGTACACACACACACACACACATACACACATCTATTGTACATCGTACAAAAATGTTCACAGTTGTTTTTTTCATAATAGTGCCAAACTGGAAAGAGCCCTCATGTTCTTCAACTAACTGGAGTGCACTTATACCATGAAGGACTCCTCAGCAATCAGAAGAAACAAACTATTGATCCATGTAGCACACATGAACTCATCCAACTATCTCCTTTCCTCCCATTTTCAGCGGAGATTTATCATGTTTCCTGCCCCTCATCTGAGTACTTCAGCTCTATGCTCCCACTACACCCTGAACTTGGACTTCATGTACCCTGTTCAAAATATCTCTATTCTGTCAGATATTAAGCACAATTAAGACATGACCCTGGAGTTCCCAGCACCACAGTGCTAATAAAAACTTTTTGGCTTGATGAATTCATGAATTAGTAAAATTTATATTTAAGTTTTATTATAGTTATATATTTATCATTCTCTTTTTACAAAGAGATAGTTGTTGTTTTTCCAAAACAAATTTTAGACACTAATTGGATAGCACCATGAGAAAATTTTTTTTAATATTTTCAATAGATTGTTCTATGTTTGTGATGGTGGGGGTGGTGAGAGCAAATGACCAATGCTGCATGTGCATGTGTGTATGCATGTGCAGGTGTGTGATTTTGTGAGTGTGCATGCAAACATAAATTGCCATGGCCCACCAAGGCTGTTACAATGATTCTATGAATACTACATAGTTGAAGCCCTGGGAGGGTAGCTCATTTGGTTAGAGCATTGTTCAGATACACCAAGGTTGTATATGCAATAATATATGCCCTGGTCAGGACATATGCAATAATAAACCTCTGAATGCATAAGTGGAGCAACAAATTTCTCTCTCTCTCTCTCTCTCTCTCTCTCTCTCTCTCTCTCTCTCTCTCTCTCTCCCTCTCTCTCTCTCTCTCTTTCTCTCTCTCTCTTCTGAAAAATCAATATATAACATGTGTGTGTGTTGGTTCACCCAAAGTGCTTTTTAAAAATTAAAAAAATAAAATATAGTTAAATACAAGTGAGAAGTTCTGCATTTTCACCTATTCTTTCAAAAGAGAGCCCTGGTCTTTTGTTTTGATTGTTGGGGATTTTTTTTTTTTTGTTTTTTTTTTGTTTTGTTTTTTTGTTTTTTTGTATTTTTTGAGTATGTTCAATCTCAAATTAATGTCTAGTAAATGAAGGAGCCAATATCTTAGATGTTGGAAACTCAGAGTTTGGGGAGTAGAGACTTCTTTTGTTCATTAAGGAAAGGGAATAAGAGCTCAAAAGTGTCTGTCTTTGTCATTATATGAAACCCAAAAACTTATCTCCAAATAAGAGGGCAAAAACTATTTGAAATCAGAGCAATATGGTTAACTTAAAAAAATTATTTGAAGCGTTGAATTTATTCTCTAATGTAATAAAGATATTATTATACTTTCTTCCATTCAAAATCTTTAATGGCATAGTTATAGAATTAATAAATTCTCCACATTAAAAATGAAAAATATTTCCTAATATATCATAAACATTCATGATTATTTTTAAAGACTTGCATAAATATTGCTTTGTACCTGAAATACCTGG